GGTGGGGGAGTGATTATGTATGCACCAGCTAATTCTTCCATCAAAACTTCTTGTCAGCGATGTCAGGATTATTTTTTTTTCTTTTTATAAAAACACTTGATGTTTCAGGAAGTGTTAATCCCTGAAGGTTGGGGGATGAGGGCGGGGGGTAGCAAAGGAGTGGGTGTGGGTGACATGTTTCTTGAGCCTGGGGAAGGCACCCTTTAGAGCCGTTTGCCTGTCTACACTGGAGTTGGGGTCTGCTGTGGAGCTGGGGACTGAAGAAGGAGGGTTTCTTTGAGTCAGGGAGGGAGAGACCCTTACCCTCCGTACTGCATTTGATGGAGGTGCCTATGGCTTGTGCAGGATGAGGAGCAGAAAAGTTCGCTTTAACCTGTGATTTCAGGATGTTTAGCCCAGGCGGTGGCTTGACAAAACCCAGATAATTCTGAAATCGGTTGTTAAAAGATACAGAAAGAAGTAGATAGCAGGATGAAAATGCACAGCTTAGGACCCGAGTTGCTTCTTTCCTCTCAATTTTTCTTGGGATCAACTATCTCAGGTTCTATAGCCAGCGCCCAGACCTACCTTTCCATAGGTGACAGAAATGGGCAATTTCTTCAAGGGGACAGATTTAGTTAATTTTTTCACTAAATGATTCTAAGAATAAATTCATATTTCTGTGCTCATAGATGGGAGAATTTTTAAACTTTTTTGTGGCTCTTAAAATTAGCGCAGAATAGGGAAGGCTGAAGAGCCATCTGACCCAGCCCAGGTTCAGATCCCAAAAAGAAAGAAAGAAAAATGCAACGTAAAAATCAATGAAGGAAAGCTGTGAATGATAAATACGTTTCCAAATCTTATATTTTAAGAAATGTTGCCTAGAATGAGAAGCTGGGTCCTTCCACAATGAGACTACTACTTGAAGGATCACTCAGTCCCAGGCTTATGAAAGCCAAGGCCAGTGAGAAGGGGAATGGGGATTGTTGCTTGTGCCCCTCCATCCCCCTCCACCCCTGCCCCTTTTAGAGCAAGTGTGTGTGAGAGAAGATATTAAAGAGGTATCTGTTGTTTGGCAATTTTGCTAAGTCTGTCTTCACTACTTCGACGCTGTGCATTTGCTAATTTGGAGGCCTGGCCATTGACAAGCTTGCTCCATACACCTGCAAGCAATTTGCCGGCTCCGGTACCAGAGAATTGCAGAGATGGCAGCTCGCACCTATTTGATTTTTTTTTTCCCTTTTCTCAATGCACAGCAAATTTGGCTTTCAGTGCGTTATCTCTTTTGTTAATGCAAAAAGATTCCCTGGGCGAAAAAATTGCTCATAATTACCAGAGAGATGGGGAAACTGCATTAGAATAAATAAACCTGAAATTACTGTAATTATGTTGTGTTTGATGGGCCCGGCTTGTAATCAAGAAGAGAATACAGTGAAATGATGCTGACCCTCTTGGGTTTGCAGCTGTACGCGCACTTTGGGGTCTTTTTTTGCAGAAAAGAGTCATTTTGATAATCATTAAGCTGTGTGTAACCTATTTCAGAAGTGTTTTAAAATGAGGTTCACATTTTTTGAACAAGGGGGAAAAAATCCCAAAATTGCATTTTGCCATTACAGACTCATACATAAGGAAAGGTTGTGTTTTCTAAGTGACAATTGTTAAGACATAATATTCGAAATCAGTATTTAATCATTATAATGAGGTATTGTTTAAATATAACCACCTTTAGATTATTCATAGTTTAATTAATATACTCATTATGAAAATCTTTGAATCAGATATTTGATGAACTACTTGTCAGTAACAAGGCAGCATTAATTAGGCCTATATTGAGATTAACATTTTTTAAAAGTGCAACTGCTTATAATTATAATAGAGCCTAACTAAAGACCGCCTTCGTTGAGCTAAAACTAATAATTTCTCTATTTGAACTGTTAGCAAGAGATTATTAAATTAGTATAAGCTAATATCTCGAAATATTAAAATCCGCTTGACCAAACAGATTTTTGCCTGTGGCTTCAGGCGCTGGGCCCTGGCTGCCGCACTGGAGTCGGATGCGCGAGAGCAATCCGCCAAAACTCCCCTCTAGCAAAGTCACATCTCCAGGCAAAACCGAATCCCGGAAGGTCCCTACCCCGCGTTGGAACCCGGTCTGGGAAACCAGTTCTCTCCCAGCTTTGAGGCCCGTCTGCTCCCGGTCTCGGAGATCTTATCTCCCGCATTTGCGCTCCGGGTTATGGGGGCCCGCAGGGCAGGACAAGCTCCAATCCCAAGCCCTGTGGGGGCCTCGAGGTCCCCGGGCTCCATCCCCCACTACTTCCCCAGCTCCCTACATCACCGCCCCTCCACCACTTCCCCTCCCCTTCCCAAAGGGCGTCAGAAGAGCCTGGAGCATCTGCTCTTTCACCAGCACCAATTGAAAAATGGGTGCTTGTCACAACACAGATCACTGCCTTCCCTGCTTTGCTCCCCACCGCGCGCTGCAAAGGGCCCCCCAAAGCGGAGGGCCAGCCCGCAGGAAGCAGTGTCGGAAGGCGAGTGCGAGGGAAGCGGGAACCGCTCCAAGCAGCCCGTCCCGGCCCGCAGCTTCACCGAGCTTCCTGAGCTCAGCTGCAGGGTCTGGGATTGGGGTTTGGGGCGAGACGCCGGGCCACCGGGTGGAGAGAGCCAGGCGGGTTCTAGTTGCTCGAGAGTCCACATTCTCCTGAAAAGAACTCATCAGAGAGTTCCACTGAAGGCGCCCCCTTACTGGCCTGGCCTCGGGACTTTCGGGCTAGAGTGGGGGGTGGGGGTGGGTGTCTTCGGCCAGCTCCTGGGTTCCAACGAGTCAGCGGACCCTTTCCGCCCCTCCCTTGGAATTTCCATCTGAGGCGCAGAGAGAAGCTGGGGATTAGGCGGGAAGAAGCCTCTGGTAGAGGATGGGCCCGATGGGTGGGAGTGGCTGTGGAGGGGCCCAGGTGGCGCCTTGGGACTGTCCCCCGGAGCTCAGTGATTGACTGGGTGTAGCCTGACAGACGTGTCCTTCCGGCCCCTTTCCGGTGTCTGGCCGCGTCTTTTCCGCGTCGGGACGGGAGCCCTGCGGGCAAGCAAAAGCCGGAAGGCCAGATCGCCGCGAAGGCGAGGGGCCAAGCCCCCAGTGTCTCTGCTTTCAGTCGTCTAGGCTTCCGGTGAGGTGACTGGGTGTGGGGGGCACTCAAGTCTCCTTGGCCGGCTGCCTTTGAGCTCTGCTTTCATCTCCTCTCAACCAGCCTTCACAGTCCTTTTGGTTCCAGAACCCCCCCCCCCCTTCACACAGCACCTGTTCCTGATCCCCCCCTTCCAAGGCCCTGGCCAAGAGTCACTGCCCACCCTCTAACCCAGGTAGGGATCAGACCCCTTGGGGGTCAGAAGCAGGGCAAGATAAACGGTCCCAGCGGCTAGGGAGGGCCTTGCCGGTGATTCTGGTAGTCTGGAGCAGGAATCTACCCCTGCCGCTATGTGTCCCGAGAGGTGGAGGCTTGGCCCAGCCCACAGAACCCCCTCACACAGCACACCAGACAGCAGTTCTTTCTCGAAACCATAATTTTACTGTCTCAGAGAAACTTTATAACTTATTTACAAAGTTCTTTTTTTTCAAGATACAAATCAATAAGTTAACATTCTCAATATAAAACTAAACTTTGACATAGAGAACACAAAACACGGTTGATTTCAACTGATCACATTTTCCAAATTTCACAAGTAAAATGTCAAGATTCTCATTTCACAAAGCATCGGGTTTTACAGCCACACACAACAGAACGGAAAAAAGCTAAGCTTGTGCAACATGTTTACGGAACAATAATAACAATAATAATTAACAACAATAATAATATGTACAGCGATTAGATCCTGCACTGGAGACTAGGCATCCAGGGTGCTGCCTGGCATTATTCTGTGGTTGAGCCTCTGGGGATTAGTGCTGCTTTTGTCTTACTTTAAAGCTCACTGGCTCTAGGGCACTCCTCTCTGCCTGCCTGTTTTTTCCTCACTGCCCATCGGTCCTCTCCCTTGCTTCCCGAGGAGGGAATTAGGATTTTCCTTCTTGTCCAGGCAAAGCGACCAAAGTGTTTTTCCCGAGATGAGAAAATTGTGTTGCTTCATTTCTCTTTTTTTTTT